CGCCTCGCTGTCCGGCGTGGGCACCGGCCTGTGGGGACCGAGGGCACCACCCGAGACCTGCGAAGGCCGGCCCTGGTTCTGCTGGCTCGTGCAGCCTTTGGTGCTAGTAAAGCATCTCCAAGCCTGGCAGGTCCAAGCAGACACTCCCCTGCGCTCAGGGAGTTACTGGGAAAGCACAGAAACCACCTCTGAGGAGCCTTTGCGCCGAGGCTGGTGGGGAGTGTGGGAGCGGCGGGGTCACCGGCCTTCATCCGGAGAGGACTTGCAGTTTGCAGAGAGCTTTACGTTTTCCTTAAGCAGCCGGATGCTCAAATCGGTACCCTCCGACGCATTTACGTCTCCCTTCCTCCCCTTTCATTTCCATTTGGGCGCAACTCAAGGCAGCGCAGTCCGTGAGCACATCTGAGCCCAGAGACCTGTTCTTAGAGATGCGCAGGCTGCCTCGGCTGGTTCTCTGGTTCTCGGGGCTGGGAGCCCGCCCTGTGCTGCCCACCTTTCATTAGTGCCCAAAAGCCTCCGGGCAGCCCTGGCCGGTTTGGCTCAGCGGATAGAGCGTCGGCCTGTGGACTGAGGGGTCAAGTTTGATTCCCAGCCCCGGCACATGCCTGGTTTGCAGGCTCAGTCCCCAGTGGGGGGTGTGCAGGAGGCAGCCGATCAATGATTCTCATCATTGATGTTACCATCGCTCCCTCTCCTTTCCTCTCTGAAATAAATTTTAAAAATATATATATATTTTTTTTAATGGAAATGAAGGGTCCCAGGTTTGATTATGGCAACCAATCGATGTCTCTCAAATCAGTATTTCTCTCTCTGCGTCTCTCCCCCTCCCTTCCACTCTCTCTAAAAATGACTGGAAAAATCTCCTCGAGAGGATTAACAACAACAACCTTCCGGGTAGATTAGGGTCACCTCCCATTGGATAAATGAAGAGCTGAAGTTCAGTACCTTGTGAACATGTACCCTGTTGCCTCTGACTAGGAAGGGGAGCTCATGTCACTCAGTGTTTGTGGGCACGTTACTGCGTTTCGTGGGTGGGCAGCCTTTGCCTTCCCACGGAGCTTGTAGCTAGGCCCGAGGACTTCCCCTGTGTCTCCACCGCCTCTTCCCAGAAGGCCTCGCAGACGGCGTGTTCTCAGCGATCACCTGTCCCCAGCAGTGAAATGACTCTCTTTGTCACACTCTCTCCGGTGGGGAGGGAAGCCATTCTGTCCAGCTGCTGCCTTCCTATTGGTTCTCACTGAAATTTGAGAGAAGGGCAGGGAGGCCGAGGGGGTCGATATTCGTGCTGCCCTGGTTGGTGATAGCCCACTAGCCAGAGAGAAGTGAGGCTGCCGGGATCGGCACCAGATGGAGTGAATGGTC